CATCTTAAGTAAGTATCTTTCATCTTAGCTGCAATATGTCTGGAAGGAATCCATTTAAGGAAGGCAACTATGGATGGTATTAGAGGTGTCATTTGGAGTATTGTTTCCACTATGCTGACCTTGTCTGATCATGGAAGGCTTTGTTAATACAAGCATAGAAGAATACGAAGAAATACTAGGACAGTAGGCTAGCTAGAGAAGTAAAAAAGCTTTGTGGGGAAAAAAACAGTAGCAAAACACCTCTTTATTAGTACTAGAAGGTGTATGGATGTATCCAACATGTCAAATTATTCTTAAAGAAGACTTTATTTTCACCTTTACTTCTATACAAGTTATATGAATTCCAACCAAGAACTATTAACTATTCTCAATAAAGGTTATGTATTCTATAATTAAGATTGGACATTTGAAATATCAGTGCCAACATACGCCTTATCTGGATTGCATCTGTGATTTTATGCAGAAAATCTACGGCTAATATTATTACTTAGGTGAAAGCTACAGAAAATAATGGCTATTCTCTGAAGAGGCAATTTATTGATATTTTATTATGAAAGAAAGGAAAAATTAAAAGCTATATTAATACAAGGCAACTGGTTTTAGAATGGGTATACTCCTCTACACATTGCTGCTAAGAAGAATCAGATGCAGATAGCCACGACCCTGCTGAATTATGGAGCAGAGACCAATATTTTGACCAAACAAGGAGTGACTCCACTTCACTTGGCCTCTCAAGAAGGTCATGCTGACATGGTGAACTTACTTCTGGAGAAGGGAGCCAATATTCATGTGGCCACAAAGGTAACGCCCTCCTTCTATTAAGAATTCATTTTTAAACTGTGATTTAGAAAATGATGTAAGTGTTCAATGAATCAATACAAAATATTAATTTATATTTGAGAATTAAAAGCAGGAAAATGTGTAAAAATAAGGCTAATACCTTATCTAAAACAAACAAACTGCCACATTGGTGGGATTTGCTTTTTTTTAATCTACTATTAAAATAGTAGATAATAGTAGATAATATCATTAGTAGATAATACATTCATAGAGGTTTGTGTGTCTAATCTCTGCTTAAATATTAATTGGAAATTAACACTTAATTTGCAGTTAAATGTTAGATTATTTGAGGTTTCCCTGCTGAAATAGAGAGCGCAAAATTTCATCCCAATTGTATTCGCTTGCAGAGTATTTCATTTTTTTTCTGCCTTTCTTCTCCAGCATATGTATGAGGTCACTATCCATGGTGTTCAATTCTTTTATAATACCAAGTTTTATTTCTTCCCTCCCTCTCTTGTCTTGTTCCTACCTATAACCTTTGTGTTCTCCAATATGTAACAGGAATTGGAAAGACACTGTGAATGAACTGACAGTCTGAAGAGTTCATGATAATTGTTAGAAAGAAGTTGTTTGAATATAAAGCCAACTGAATTTCATTATGCTTACTTCTCAGATGACATATTTAGGAATATAATACTACATTACAGCCTTTGCTAGGTTTGAGTTCCATGAGGCAATGTGGTCTCAGCTTGTGATATTTATTAATTTTAATTTTCAGAGCGGACTGACATCTTTACATTTAGCAGCTCAAGAAGATAAAGTAAATGTAGCTGATATGCTGATAAAGCATGGAGCAAACAAAGATGCTCAGACTAAGGTATAACAAACAATAACTTCCAAGACAATAAAATAACTTTCCAATGCCTTATCACATTCTCTACTTACGCTTTTGGGGGCTCCTTTTCATTTAGCTGGGTTACACTCCACTAATTGTGGCTTGTCACTATGGAAACATCAAGATGGTGAACTTCCTTCTGAAGCAAGGAGCTAATGTCAATGCTAAGACAAAGGTAAATGTTAATAGTTTCCTTCCATTCTCATTTACAAACAAGCACATCGATATTAATTTATATTTAACAGATTTACAACATTATATTTGTAAGAAATTTGAAAGAAGAAGAGTCAATTTCTCAGTGCAGTAGTTTGTGAATAATGTAATAATGTACTTGACTAAGTACAGAAAATAATGCACAGTTAATCATTATCATTGTGGCCATGGAATTCTGAAATTTTGGACATCTAAATGACAATGCTAATGCATTTCATTGGCATCAATATGATGAAAACTTGTCTAAAAATGTTCAGTAAAAATTTAAAAATGTTATGAATGATACTTTAAAATAATAAGTGTAAAATGGTAGTGCATCCTGTAAATACTGTAAATTCTGTACTTTCATATTAATTTATTAAGCTTATATGCTACCCATTTCACCTCGAGGTGATTCTAGATAGCTTACAACCCATACAAACAACAAGATAAAACTTTAAAATAATAAATACTAATGCTCAAATTGATTAAAAATTTTAAAACAAAAAGATGGCAAGGAAGAGAGAGCAAGGTGCATACAGGAGCAGGTGAGGTCTTATCTCAGTCCATTAACTACTTCAAGTATAACCCATGCCAATTGACCCACCCCCATGCCAATTGTCCAAGCCAGGTCTTCAAGCTCTTTCAAAAGACCAGAAGGGTAGGTGCAGATCATACCTTGGGGACATAATGCGCCAAGAAGGCAGGAGCCGTGGCAGAAAAGGCTCTTCTCCTGCACCCTGCCAGTTGAAATTTCTTGCCTGAAATTCCTTGACAGCATGTCAGTGTGGGTGGGGCAACATGGGTGAGATAGTTCCTCAGATAATACATATTAATGACAGAAAAAGATCTGGGCATCATAGTACATACAAAGTAAAGAGCACTGTGAAAAAGGCATATTTTATGTAGGGATCCCTAGGAAAGGAACTAATAATGAAAATTCAAACATGATGCCGTTATACAAATCTACAGTATGTCCAGGGGTGGGATTCAAATTTTTTAACAACCAGTTCTGTGGGCATGACTTAGTTAGTGGGTGTGGCTTGGTGATCATGTGACTGGGTTGATGTGGCTTGGTGGTCATATTATTGGCTGGTCGTGGCCAACTCAATATCACTCACATCGAGGCATGCATCTCTTCGTCTGGCCTCTCATGACTGGGGATGCTTCAACAGTCGTAAGTGTGAAAAATGGTCATAAGTCACTTTTTTCAGTGCCATTGTAACTTTGAATGGTCACTCCACACTAACAAAGTACCAGCAAAAGAAGGAAAAAAAGCTCCAGAGAAGTTCCTGAGACAGGAAGTCTAGTCCTGCGAAGAATGTAATAAGGGTTAACAGAGAGGCAGTTTCTGTAAGCAACACCAGAATGTTTCCTTCCTGCCTTCCTTACAGGATTAGGTCAGTAATTTCTTCTCACAACCGGTTCTCTGAACTGCTTAGAATGTTAACAACTGGTTCTAGCGAATAGGTGTGAACTGGTAGAATCCACCCCTGAGTATGTCTGGCTGTAAAATACCAGGTACAGATCTGGCTGCTACACTTGAAAAAGACTATAACATACCTGGGGAAAGTGCCAAAAAGACCAGCCAAACTGATCAGAGCCCTTGAACATCTTCTGTATGAGAAAGGGTTTTAGAAAGTTTGAGTTTGGAAAAAAAAAGTGGAGAGATGTGACTGAGGTGTATAAAATTCTGAATGTATAGAGAAAGTCTCCACAGAAAATATTTTCTCCTTCTCTAAAAACCAGGCGCCATCAAAAATGCTGATTTGAAGGAGATTTGAAATGGACAAAAATGATTTTTCCACACAGTACAGCAATCCCCAATCTTTATAGCTTAGCACATCAGCAGCGGTGGTGGCAGGAAGAAGGGGTTGGTTTCACACACAGGCCTACTATATACACATATGGAGCTTCATGTGCTTTCTCATTACTTCTACGGCCCAGTTCCCTATGGGCCGCGGACCAGTACCAGTCCAAAAACTAGGAGTTGGGGACCACTAACATATTGCATAAGTAATTTATACTATACTGTAAAGTTTAGGAATGGCCATTAACCTGGATGGCTTGAAAGGAGATAGTATAAAATCATGGAGGATACAATTTGAAAAGTATATTAACCTTAATCATGCTTAACCTAGGGTTACTTCTGGGTTGGGAATAGCATGCTTTCAAATATCAGCTGTAGAAGAATAACGGTAGGAAAGGTGTTTGTAAGTACCTCAGGGTATCACTGTGAGAAATAAAATGTTGGACTATGGCATTGGTAGAGTACTTCTATGGAAATATATGTTTATTTCTGAATTTTCCATACCAGTGTTATATGCGGGGACCCTTAAAAGATAAGCCTGGTTGAAAAGATTTACAAGAAAAAAATTAGGAAAACAACTGTATGACTGTAAAAAATGTACTGTAAATAAATATAAGTAGATATAATTTAAAGTAATTTAAATTTTAAATGCACAAGAATCATAAAATTTCACTTTCTTGTTATATATAGTTAATATTATTCTACCTCTGTATTATGCAAACCTGGTTGCTTCCTGAGTTGAGAAGCAGTCCAGGAGGGAATACTTGGCAATTTGCATAGGAAAACTAGAATTAAAAATTCTGGGTTTTTAAAGTTAAATTTGCTCCAGAGCATGTGGGACCACCAACTATGGTTGCTCACTTCCCCATTTGCTCATTTGAATCTTTTTCAATATTATTTAGAATAAATTCAATGGTACAATAGTGAGAAATTAACAGGAATATTGTTGGCAGGTTTAAGACAAAAAAGCTGTGAAAATTGCAGGTTGTAGGTAAGCAGAATATGTGTAACACGGAGCAAAACATATAAATGCTTACTTTAGTTTTCCTATCTCTCTTCCCCCACTCCAAATAAAACATTAGCAACTTGAAAGACAGTTACATATGCCAAAATAAGAGATATAGTTTATAATTTTACAGAACATCAACACAATCAAATTTCATGGTAACCTAAAGTCTTGTTTTCATTGACCCATTGATTGCTTTTTAAAAATCTTAATTTCTAAAAATTAATAGGGATTTGATCAATGTTAGCCTACCTTCTATCATTAATGATATATAAAAAAATTGGTCATTGGTGTTCGCTGCCTGATGAAAACAGCTGGCATCACTGTGGTTAATACTTCTGTGAAATCAGGAGAATATTAAAATAACTGCATTTTAGGATTTTTGTCCCCTTTATATTCTTAAACATGCTAACTACCACTAATTTCAGAATGGATACACTCCTCTGCACCAAGCTGCCCAGCAAGGTCACACTCACATCATCAATGTTCTTCTTCAACATGGGGCCAAACCAAATGCAATCACTGCGGTAAGATTGTGGAATACTCACTTATATACTTGCAACGATTTGTTTTTAAGTTTTGAACTCCAAAATGTCTTAAAAGGTAAATTGGATTAGTCAGCTGGAATCAGATGGAGGGATGTGACTACTTGGAGAACTTGTACTATGTCCGCTAAAAAGAAATTATAATTAATAAGAAAAAAATGGTATGTATTCTATACACGAAGTCTTTAAACTATAGAATGATATCATTGCACATGCAATATATGCATGTCGTCATAGTTTATGATTAAACGTGCAGCTGCTGAAAAACAATATGATGCAATGGTAATAGTGAAACACGAACTTTATCACATGAGTCATGGTGGTGCAGTGGTTGCAATACAGCACTGCAGGCTGACTCTGCCCATAGCCAGGAGTTCGATCCTGACCGGCTCAAGGTTGATTCAGCCTTCCATCCTTCCCGAAGTTGATAAAGCTCTATGGAGCAGTATATAAGTCTAAGTGCTATTGCTATTGCTACAGACCTATTTTTGTCACTCATTCTACTGCAGCAGAGGCAGATCTGATTGGTTTCCTTTACCTGATCCTCCTATAAACATTGATTCAATACAGTGTATCATTTTTTTTTTATTCATACAGAATTAGTTAAAGGAATTCAGTTTGGTTAGATCAGGAGGGGTTAAACTCGTGGGCCACAGGCCGGATGCATCACATGCTGGTTTAGTGAAGGGGGGAAAAGTTGCAATACATCATGAGACAAAGACGTGGCCATACGAGTTTGACACCCTGGGTTAGATAATATTGTGATAGTATGTTTACTATTCTTTTTTTTTAAATTAACAACGAGGAAACGGCATGATGCTGAAACAATACAGATACAAAACAATAGTTATCACTTCTGTATTAACATTACATTACTATATTGGCAATTAAAACAAAGTTAGTTCTTTTTTTCCTAAAGTAAAAAAAAATACACTTTAGAATCTGAATATTGTGTATTTGAGTTTTTTTTTTGTAAATGAAAGAATGTATATAAACACGTTTAAAATATACTGAATCTTTTTTTTGTTTTGTTTTCTGGGTATGCATCAGCTGTACCACGTCCATATTTGATCTAATATTTCTGAGTTGGAACCTCTTAAATTTCTGCTGTATCTGGGTTCTATTAACACTACCATCAAAATCACTGCCAATTAAAAGCTTTTTGTCAAAATTATTCAAGAACACACGTAGCAAATAAAAAAAATCTAATGAGATGCAGAAAGCTGTGGGTTAAATTATTAAAAAGTGTGCACTTTAAAAAAATACAGTATAACAGACAGATGTTCTGAGTTTATGTTTCCATGGCAATTGCTGCTATAGTCTGAGCAAAGTTCCAAAGGTTTTTTTCATAGTGAATGACTTCTTTTGGATGGAAATGTTGGTTCATTTAGTTCTGGGTGTGATCTCATTGGTTCATATCACAGGATTCCTTTCCCTTCTCTCCTCCTTCAGAATGGCAACACTGCCTTAGCGATTGCTAAGCGTCTGGGATACATCTCAGTGGTAGATACATTAAAGGTTGTAACAGAGGAAGTAATCACCACTACAACTGTGAGTACAGCAGACTTTTTTTTCCATTATTTTATTCTGGTTTTGTTTATTTCAGGTATCTTTTAAAAGGAGTAAATTACGTCCAGAGTAATTTGGGTCATATTTCATTATCATTATGATATTGGGGAAGGGTTTCTATGGGCAGCCAATATAGGAACTTTCTGTATCCCTGATTATAGAAAGCTTTTCATATTGCAACAAAGAAGTGAACAAACATTTTGTAACTAGGAAGGTAATGGAGGTGCAGTTAAATCATACTTTAGATGCATTTACTAGATGCTTCATTCATTGTTTACTTTGAATATTTTATTTATTAATTAAGAAAAGGCAATTTTATATCACTCTTAAAGCTTTGATTCCATCTTCCCCATTATATTCATTTATTTAGTTAATGACTAACTAAATTTCATATTTTCATAATTACATCAAATATGAAAGTGAGCTTGGATTTATTAGATATCCAGCTTAAAAACGATAGTCACTTGGTACGAACAAGGGATTTGAGGCAGAAGTGGATGGGTTAAAAACAGAAATGTTCCTCATCTTATACTTGTTAGTATTTTAAAATATTGAAATTATTTGGCTCTCTACCCATCAAGCTTATACAATGGAGCACACTGAAGCTTGCTATTTACAAATAATTTACCAAAACTAACCTAATCCTTTTAATAGTAGATGCAAACATGATCCATGTGCTTGGCAGTGACAAGACTGTTGATATTTGTAGAGAAGCAGAAAAATATAAAGGAGGAACAGTTTTAAGTAGAACAGACTTTTAAGATTCACAAATATCTTTAACATTGTGGTTAAACTTACTGTATCTTAGGGAATAGGTATTCAAATGGAGGGACATTTTTATAAATATGTTTATAATATTTATATTTATATATTTTTATAAAAATATCTTGCTGTGTAACTTAAAAACATTCGAACAATTAAATTAATTCTTTAAAAAAAGAAATTTCAATTCTTAAGATGAAATCCAAAGAGTTGCTGTTTAGGAAAAAATTTTACTGTGACATGAAAATGTCATATTTGAACAAGTTTACTGCTAACTTAAATATCTCTTTAGTGTGGCTTTATGCATAGGCAGCTGAGTATCTGAAAATCAGGTATCTCACCAATTAATACTTTTGTTAAAAAAAGAATTGAATTTAAGCACAATCTTCCTTTTTGTAATCATCTAGACAAAGATAGAGAGAAACAAATGACCTGTCTTTTTTCTTATTACAGACTGTCACCGAAAAGCACAAGCTCAATGTACCTGAGACTATGACTGAAATTTTGGATGTTTCTGATGAGGAAGGTGAGTTCATTATGAACCACTTGGTTTCTTTATGTATGTATTTATAAAATGCATTTATTGCTTTCATCATAGGTAGTTGTTAAAGTTGTAGAAAAGTTAAAAGTACTTAAATCTTACTGAAAATAGAAATATAAATTGAAATATGTACCAAACTTTTATATATATATATATATACATACATACACACACACACACACACATACATAGTTTCTTAAGTTTTCGCGGGTACTTACATGTATGGTATTCAGTTTTGTTCGGGTATTTTCCCACATCATTATAGTTGTACTTTTAAAGTTGTAGCAAGGTTTCGGAAGAATTTCATCTGCCATCTCACAGATGAACACAATACAGAAGCCTGATGATGGCAGATGAGATTCTGCCGAAACGTTGCTACAACTTTAAAAGCACAACTATAATGACATGGGAAAATACCTGAACAAAGCTTAAGAAAACAAATATATATATATATATATTCAGCTGTAGACATGTTTTTTATTAAGTAAAATATCTGTGACATTTTGAATAGTCTGGGCCATAGTAGCAGCACCCATAATGACAATAATTGGCTTTAAAGTGGCCGGCACAGATAGGCAAACAAAACTCCTCCATATTTCTGTGTTTACAAAATATTTTGTTGCCATGTGCAAGCCAGTTACTATTGTTTCAGATGTCCCTGGGCTATGTCATGCAAAATTGGAAAAAAAGACAATATAGATTCAGAGGTACTAACAATTATCAATTATAGGAAAATCAATTACCCCAATGCCATTTTCCTTAGTGTAAACTGCCTGAAAGCATACACACATTATTGTTTCTTAATGTGTTCTCAAAATGGATCATATAGCTTATGTACGTCATGATTTTCAAATGAAGCATATTACAGGTCATCCCAGGGGTGGGATTCTACAGGTTTGCACCTATTCGCTAGAACCGATTGTTAACATTCTAAGCAGTTTGGAGAACCGGTTGTTAGAAGAAATTACTGGCCTAATCCTGTAATGAAGGCAGGAAAGAAACATTCTGGTGTTGTTTACAGAAACTGCGTCTCCGTTAACCCTTATTACATTCTTGGCAGGACTAGATTTCCTGTCTCAGGAACTTCTCTGGAGTTTTTTCCCCCTCCTTTGCTGGTACTTTGCTTGTGTGGAGTGACCATTCAAAGTTACAATGGCACTGAAAAAAGTGACTTATGACCATTTTTCACACTTACAACTGTTGTAGCATCCCCTCAGTCATGCGAGCCAGGCGAAGAGTGCGTGCCTTGATGTGAGCGATATTGAGTTGGTCACACCCAGCCAATAACATAACCACCAAGCCATGTCCACCCAGTCACATGACCACCAAGCCATGCCCACCACCTAAGCCACGCCCATAGAACCGGTTGTTAAAAATTTTGAATCCCACCCCTGGGTCATCCTCATTTAGCAACTGTCTCAAACATGACTTTTTGAAATTATGAAGCTAATGGTAATGTAACTTTGTAGACATTGCCTGTATTTAAGTCCTTCACGGTGTCTGTTTTTCAGTCATGTGTTCACTGTTAAGAGTCAGTATTATATCACAGTGTTGTCCTGTCTCTGATGTGTTGCTTGTCCTGTTCCTGAGCTGCTTTTGTCAGCAGTGTGGCACATCCCTCAGTGTGCTAATTGCAAGTAACAAAGTCACTTCAGTGACCTTAATTGGTTGGCTAGAAATTTCTGCTTGCAGCTGCTGCCTAAAATCGACAAGATCTGACAATTTCACACTGAAGGCTTTTGATTGCTGAAATAAAATCATAAGTATAGTGTGGAGAAATAATTTCATTTAACAATTGCTTTGCTTAATGACTGAATCACTGGAAGCAATTGTGGTCACTAAATGAGGATGACCTATAATGTAACTTTGTTCCTTATACATTCCTTTGTAAACAATATCCCCTAAAATTAATGTATGTATTATGCAGCTTTAAAACATTCTGATTATGACCATTCCACTGATGAGGAAGCCTTTAGTGATGCAGGTACCGTGGAAACAACTGTTGGAGAATAAAAAAATATTTTTAATCTAGCTTAAATGATTTCCTTGTTTAAAAATAAATTTGAGCACCTAACACTTAGACATTAAATTTGATTGTGCATCTGTGCATGTTCTCCAAATGGAGAAAAAGAGCTTAAACTATTACTAATATGAATTTGAGTTATCATTTTGGGAATGTCTTACAATGTTAATTAAAAGTTTAATAATCCTATAATTTCATGTTATTAATTTAAAATAAAATGAGACACCGTAACATTTCTTATACATCAGCATTTTCTAAGCAGTTCAGTATTATTAATTTGATTAATATAGAAAAATGAAGTTATGAGACAAGCCTATCATTAAGAAGAAAGTTGACTTAATAAATATTGTCACATTTGAAGTAGGAAATTGCCCATCATAGTTGCTTTACACAATTCTGCAATCCATAGCACATATGCTACTGTGTAATAGGCAAACCACAGCTTTATATATATAATTTGCATCAACTTATTTCAGTAACTTGGTGGATTTTATGATTGAATGTATGTTTGTACATGGCCAAAACATTTATTTTTTTATTTATTGTAAACATGTTTTACATCTTAAACCCCATAAGCTGTCATTATGAATCCAGAATGATGCTAAAAGTAAGGAACGAAGAGAGAAATATCCACCAGCAGTTACCATCTTTTGATGTACAGCATGTACTTACGCACATAAAAAGAGATTTTGATCCTATGATCAAGTCACCTTTTTTAAATCAAGGATGCTGAGGCTTCTGCTAAAAAAAATTGTCCATCTCTGTGTTAGAAAGTTGAAAAGACAGAAAAATGGAAGAATTTAATGTGGTATTAGGAGTGTGTAGCTCCTGGAGACTCTTAATTTGAGGGTGAATGTTCGTTCTCCGGGGTTGGTTTCCAAATGTTTCATTACCAGGCTAGGTAACATAAGAGTGGAGTGGATGTCAGTGACAGTGTTCTTCTGTTTATAAGGGCTTCAGGTGTGGGTGTGTCAAGTGAGGGTCTTGTGATGGGCAAGTAACGCCCAAATCATTACACACAACACAACCAACCACCATGCAAAAACTAACTGTACCATACACAAAAGGGGTGTTGGAAATGACAGCCAGAATTCTCCAACACCTAATAATAGGAATAGCCCACAAACCCACAGCCACACTTCATCAGGCATTATCCAGAGCCAAACACAAGAGAGAAGGATGAAAGAAACAATGTAATCTACAAAATCAACTGTAACCATTGCAACCAAGTTTGCATGGGACAAACTTCACACCAGTTAAAAACCAGGACCCATGAATACCAGCTGGCAGTCAAATGCCATGATCCCAAGTCCTCAATCTCTACTCACACTGACACCAAACACCACCAGTTTGATTGGAGCAACAAAAATCGTCGGGCATGCTACCACCTGCCATGTTTGTGAGTTCATCAAAGCCTGGCACTCCACAAGCAATTCCGTCAACAGACACATTGACTTACAACCATCCTATGGACCACTCAGAATCCAAATCAATCACACAGCTAACCAGAGAAAGCACCAACTCTCAACCAACCCATGCAACCCCTCACCAACAGTTCACCTCCCAGTGACCCTGACCTGATGTAACTCCCCATCACAAGACTCTCACTGATGACTCCCAACTGACCCATCACAAGACCCTCACTTGACCCATCCACACCTGAAGCTCTTATAAACAGAAGAACATTGACACTGACATCCCTTAAACTCCACTGAAGATATTACTTAGCCTGGTAATGAAATCAGGGGTGGGATTCTACAGGTTCAGATAACAGATAATCAGAGTTGGAAGGGACCTTGTAGGTCATCTAGTCCAACCCCCCCGCCCAAGCAGGAGACCCTATACCATTTCTGACAAATGGCAGTCCAATCTCTTCTTGAAAGTCTCAAGTGATGGTGCTCCCACAACTTCCGAGGACAAGCTATTCCATTGGTTGATTGTTCTCACTGTCAGAAAGTTTCTCCTTATTTCCAGGTTAAATCTCTCTTTGTTCAGTTTTGCACCTGTTCAGTAGAACCGGTTAACATTCTAAGCATTTTTCACACTTACAACTGTTGCAGCATCCCCACAGTCATGAGAGGCCAGGCGAGGAGATGCGTGCCTCAATGTGAGTGATACTGAGTTGGCCATGCCCAGCCAGTCACATGACCACCAAGCCATGCCCACCAACTAAGCCACGCCCACAGAACTGGTTGTTAAAAATTTTGAATCCCACCCCTGAATGAAATGTTCAGAAACAACCCACAAGCTTGGAGAACAAACCTTCACCCTCCTCCTAAATCTAATCTACATATATTCACCACTATTGAAGACTTAATTTGATAGATTTGGCATTAAAGCAGGTAAACTATTCACACTATTGAGATTTTCAGAAAAATAGTTTTAAAATTCTAGAGTTCTCACATGTAAAGTATTAGAATATGCAATGCATTTATTTAATATAGACAGTTCCTAAATTTATTACTTTTCAAAAGATTCACATGGACATTTGTAGCTGTGGCCTTTGACAGCCCCACTTCTCATCATGAAGTAAAAGCAGATGTTGGTGTTTTTATTTTCCTAGCTTCCTGATGTGCTTTCAGAGTTATACTTGACTAACAAGATATGATGTTCATCTGCAATTACTTAACTCCTAATTCTTTGAGTCTTTAACCAGACAACATGACTCTTTAAAGCAGCGGGGTAATATTTTCAAAACTTTGAGTAGTAGTAACCATGGTTACAAAATGAAGAACAACACTATAAGAAGACTGAAAGTAGATACCCAAATCCAGAGCTACTGCTTTCTGTAATGTTTCCAATAAAGAAATCTCTTCACTGTCTTTAAGGTAATGCCCTACTTAGCTGTTAATTAATATCAGTTACTTGATGGGCAAGAAGATAATATGATTATCACATCAATCCAGGGATGTTGATGAGTTGACAGTGAGGCTATTTTAATTTCCCCCAAAATGCATGTAATATATATGTTAGGAATGTAAGTCACCTAACAGTTGGGTTACACTGCTAGGAAATGTGAAAATATTTCACAAAACCCAAGCTATTTCTCTTTGGGACAGGCCACAGTGCAGTTATACACATGGTGCTCTTCATAATTCCAGGATCAGTGTCAGTGACATTTGAATTCAAATAATCAGATAGCAAGTCATGGGAAAGACTACTGCCTGTGATCTTGGATAACCACTATTAAAACAGATAATACAAAGCCAATTGTGTGTTTATTATTGTGGCATTTATTACGGTGTTTTTAACTGTTAGCTGCTCAGAGTTCTCAAAATGAGATGGATAGATGAAATCAACCTATCAATAAATAAACATATATGGATTCGTCTATAGCCTGAATTAGTTTTTCTTCGAATCAGTCTACATTTCTATGTAAATTTTATTTGCCTAGAATGTTCATATCTGTCTATTCTACATTCCTACATTAGTCTTGAAATTCTTATACATAATATAAAACAAGCATTGATTTAAATAGTTCATTCAGATAATTTTTGTAACTAATAAAGCAATGGTTAAGATTTACATTTCCTACACAACAAATATCTTCCTAAAAACAACAACAACAGGTTTTCAGAGAATGAGTCAAGGCAGAGAGTTCTACCAGGAAGACAAAAGAATGATATGGCAATAATGATTGAGTTACGGTATTATAACATTATATGCGATATTTCAGTCATTATTGTCATATCATTTTTGATTTATAGAGACACAACATTCCCTTTTCTTATATTGAAAATATTCATAGATTTTTCCAGAATCCCAGAAGTAAAACTCAGGGAATTAGTCCTACTAATACTATTCACTCTGGCACAAGACGAATGATTATATGTGATTTGTAGAGATCTTATATTAATTTAATCCTATGAAACTGACTAGAGTTTCCTTAAGATATATTAACTCTTTGTGCTTGCTGTGCTTCAAGAGTGACAGTAACCATGTCTGTTTTATATGTGTCTCATTCAAATTCTAAAAGAATTCTATTGATGACTGGTTTTGGGACCATTTGTGTATTGAATGAAGGTGATGACACAATGACAGGAGATGGGGGAGAATATCTGAGACCTGAAGATTTGAAGGAACTAGGTGACGATTCCTTACCTAGTAGCCAGTTCTTAGATGGCATGAACTATCTCAGATACAGCCTGGAAGGAGGCCACTCTGACAGGTACCACTTTATGAACAATACAGGAATTTTCCTACTGCAATTATCTGTATTATTTTTTTCTGAGCAGCCACTCAAAACGCAGATGATTATTAGGGAGGAAATAGATCTGTTTTATTTCTTAAAAGGCATGAGGAAAAAAATATTCAGGAGATACTTAAACGAAATATGCTTCATTAAGAAGAAAAATAAACTCTGCCGGAAAAGATGTTAGCAGTAACAATTGTAAAAGTCTATTTGTTCTTTTATAAGTTTCTGAGAGCTCTGCTTTTTAGGTATTCGGTTATAAAAGAGCATTTTTCACCACAGAACAAAAGAAACATCTAAGGAGTACAATGTGTAATGCAGTTCTTGCATTGTAAATTTAGAAAATGTATTTGTCTTTTGCATTAGAAACATATGGTTAAATACAGATCTCTTAAAACAAAGTGGCATAGGGATTTAAATTTCAGAAGTCTGTAATGACACAGTATAAAAACAGGCTAGTTTCTTCTTTATGTGTCAGTAGATTCTTTAATTTAAGAATTTAGACAATGCAATTATCAAAAATATTCAGAACAGAGGACTTTAAAATAAAATTCCATCCTTTATTATTAAAAATGAAAGTACAACATTGACTTTGTTGTATAAATAAAAACAGACTCATAAATGAAGATGCGGTGGTGCAACCAGAAAAACATTTATAATAATTACATACATGTTTAATAAGTTCTAATAAGCTATGTTGGAGTAAATGTATAACATCTACCTACTATTGTATAAAAAAAGATGAGAATAACATGAATAATAAAAATTAATCTTGTCAGCCTTCCTGCACATCAAGGAACAAAATTACATCAGAACAAATCATGTTTGTAGATATTTAAATGATGCTCCAGGTTGGAGAAGACTAGAAAAAAAATAACTACTTAGGACAACTATTTTAAATACTTTTTAGGCAGTTATTACGGTAGTTAAAATCAGCTTTCCAGTGAAACAGTGATTGTGTGGAGACAGACAATATACAAAAGAGTTGAGTGGAGACAGACAATATACAAAAGAGCCTTGTGAGTTTCGCAAAAGATGCAGCTAGTTTAACCATTCTAAAATTGTTTATGCTACTGCATATTGTGAAGGATCTCGTTCAAATGTTTTGTACAGCCCAAATAAATTTATCTAAGCACTTTCACAGGCTCGTATATACAATACAATATACAACCCTTTAATTTCCAGCCAAGATTGGCTTCCCACAATTTTATATTAGTCCTAGACAATCTATGACCCATTGTATCAGAAATGCTTCCTTACCTAAACTTACCTAAGTGAGAACAGGTAGGTTAAAAGAAAAAAACCCAGTGGAAGCTGGGGTGACTTCTAATTTCCTGTCAGCTTCCCCATTGACTTTTCTTGTGGGAAGTTGCCAGGGACTATGGAAAATGATGATTATGTGGCTATGATAATCATTTTCCAAATTTCAATCCAATAGAGGATAATTGTAGTTCAGGATTGAAATAAGGGGTCCTTGATACTCTGAGCTTGATTGTTGTTGTTTTTTGTAGACAATTCATTACCAAACTACATTATCAATGCTAATACGAAGAAAGGTTTGCTCTTATTTTATATTCTAATGACTCGAGCCACTAGAATATAAAATGAGGGCAAACTGCCCTCTCTACTAGCATTGATGATGTTACCTAGTTTGGTAATGAAGCATCTGCAAGAGAACAACCAAGCTTAGAAAGCCTCAAGACCTCCTCAAATATCAATCCTACAACTGTAATGGCCCCCAGATTTTAGATGCATTCTTTAAGTTGCACATTTGAGGTTTAAAAATTGTTTCCCTATAATGCATTGTTTCATACAATTGAAGGTTACAGACCAATTTTTTTTAATAGATAAGGATATGTAGCCTGTACATGACAAATGACCTTGCTTTCAAAATGTATCATCACTACAGAAAACAAAGCTTGTTCTCAATGCCACTTGATTTCTGCTATGGGATATTTCAAACTTACCATCCATCTACACCAAGGTTGTCAAACTCAATTTCATTGAGGGTCATATCAGGGCTGTGTTTGACCTTGGGGGACAGGGATGGGAATCCATGTGGCCTATCGTGCCCAACACTATTGTGTTGGGGGTGCCTGCAGGCCCAATTGCCGTACCAACAAAAATGGGCTCCCAAGTTCCGTTTTTGGCTGTGACGGCCTCCTGCAATCCTCTGCCAGTGAAAACGGAGCTTGGGAGGGCTGCATGCAATCCTCCCGAGCTCCGTTTTTGCTGGCAGAAGCACCACAAGCCAGTCCTTTACTGTTTTGAGGGTGGACTGGTGGGCTGGATCTGTCCCCCAAGCCTTGAGTTTGACACCCCTCATCTATACAACCACATTTCAAGAACTGTTTCGTTTTATTCATTAGAATCTCAGAGGACCTTTAAAAGTGTTCCATGTTTTTTTTATTTCTATTTTCCTTCCTTTTTATGCTTTCAATAGTACTATGCCCAGGTAGGTATTATGAGGCCTAGAAGCAATGCTTTCTGTTCTTCTTTAAGGCATCCATCTTTTCCCCCAAAATCCATTTTGCAAGCTTGCCAAGGAAAAGCTTTTTAAAGTTTGTAAAGTTTACAGGACAACTAAAATCTGTTCTGACTGCAGTTAGTAATTAGCTCAACCAAAGTTTTATCACACTCCGTAATGACATCTAGAAAAGTGCTAATTAAAAATAAGCTTTAGAAAATGCCACAATGTGAATGCTTATTACTACTAGCTAAATTTCTTTTTACAGTGGGAAGTGATGGGTACTATACTACGATACTGCTCTTTCTGGCCATTTTCTGTTCTGATATAGTTATTTTTATTTTTCTTAATGAAATGAAGTGTATCAGAAAATAATAGAATAAATTGCTCTGTGTACGATGTAATAGGAATGAATTCTTTGGGAAAATATTGTTGACTGCAGAAAAAAAAGTCCTTGCATCAGAGCAGGAGTAAATTATGTTCTTATTTTGTGCTGCTTCAAAGCTGGAAAATCCAGCTTTGAAAGGTATTGATAAAGTAATAGTGGGTTTTGAAGCAAATCAAATAATAGAATGAAGATTAAATTTATCTTAATATGACAATAGTACATTCTTGATTTTGTATCTAAAGAAGAAGGCACTTTCATTTTTTCTACAAATTCATCACAAATTTCTACTATTTTTGTAGTGGCAAAATCCCTATTTTATACTAAGAATCCTGTATTTAATTACATTTCCCATATTATAATATGTATTGAACAGATAATGTGGGCTTTGTTTTACTACTACTAGAATTAGTCAAATGCTGTCCCCCAAAACTCATAATTTTAGTTTTATAAAGTCCTTATGTGTGAATGCTTGTTGCTTATACATCATTAAATGAGAAGTAATGGATTTGGGCCATTAAATCTTTTGCCAATTGTTTATGTCACTGCTTCTGGTATTTAGAGAAGTATAAAAATGGACCAGAATTTGCTTATTTAAAGGGTAAATATTATTACAGGCAATTTAACTACCCAAGTTTTATACATTTAGGAACAATGATCAGATATGGTTCATATCTTTTATTTTAAAGAATAGCAGAAAGTCATGGGGACTCTTTAACTGTATTAGGATCATAGCATGGGACAGAAAAAACAATCCTTTCTCCCTATGATTTCTGACTGGAATTAGCCACAGTAATGTAATAAGCCATACTATTACTCCTGTTTAATCTCCTTTTGTTACAAAATAATATTTCAGAGAAAAAATGATGAAGACAAGAGAATAGTTACACTTTGCATTGACTCTAGTCAGATTGTTATGTAACTTGCCATTCTAAACTTATTTAGCTGGCTTTATTACATAAGGAAAAATATGGTTCATGTTAGCAGCCGTTTCCCATATGCTATCCTATATGCTGGAGTGAGAGATGAGAACAGAAAAAAGAAAACTTGGTTCCATGAACATGAATTGTGTTCTGTTGTCTCTGAAATCAATCCACTTCTTAAAATATAGTTCTGACTAGTTTCATTCAATCAAAATGAGAAGGATGATCATACATATTACTGGCTGCAGAGTTGGCCAACTGATGCATTATAAGAAATATTAAAATAGAAGCATTATACATATTTTCTACGATTTATACGATATTTTATTAGTCCTGAAGAATCTGTATAGTTCAGCATGATGAAGTAGTAAATTGTATTGCCTAGGTAATATTTTAATGCTTATCAGTATTTGTAACCTTAAGTTTTTAATGATTCCAGGGAATTAGAAAAATGAAAATTATCATCTGGCAATTACTCCTGTTCAAAAATGTCAAAATGAATATCTGAAATATATATTTTATAATTATGTGGAAATCATAGAGGCCTTAATATATTTGTAGCTTGGTTTTGACAAAACTTAGGGAAATTAGACTCAGACTTTAGTTGTGTGTAAGTCACTTTTTTTTTGCTTTGCATCTCTCATTGCTTCAGCAAATGGTTTCTATAGTTTTGTTCGTGTGTGAGAGATAAGTAATGGTTGTGATTGCAAACTTTTAAATGCTCTTGGCATATAAAAGAAGAATCTTGCACTGTAGTAACAGCAGTTGGCTGGCCATTTTCTATGTACCTTCCAGGGGATTCTGTCTGTTTTTCTTCTAGAAAAATTACTTCATGTTTGAAAGACAAATAATGGATTTTTCTGTCAGAAAAAAAAGAACATGTAGGACTGATTAGTCACACAGCATGCACGATGTATTCGTAAGCAGAAAATTGAACATGTTGTAATTCTGTTCATGTGCATTGGAACGGAAAATCCGAAGCATAACAAACTCCAAGGAATAATGGAGGTATATTAAAATAATTTCCCCTGGAAGTTACACTATTTGCTAACTGCATGCTTTTTTCACCCCTGTGCTTTTGCTCATAATCCTACCTACACTACTGCATCACAACTGCTGAAAATGTTGCCCAAATACCAATCTACCAGCCTGCGATCCTTCAGTTCAGACAGGTCCCGTACACTGAGCCATACCTCGTACTTGAGGGACAGCACTATGATTGATGACACCGTCATTATCCCAAGTCACCAGGTAAGATGTCTCATATTATTTTGCAGATTTAATCAATATATAGTTTTATAGTAATCCTTGTTCTGCAGAAAGGGATTTGAAAAGGAGTATTAGAATAAGACTAGATAGGAAATAATAGAATACTAGAATATTAAAAACAAATTTACATTAAAATTGGTACTTTTAAAAATATTTTATCAAGAGAGTCAAAAAGAGGGCTTTTCTGAAGGCTTTAGTCTTATGTACATTTATTTAGGAGTAAATTGCATTTGGTTCCTTCTAAATAGACATGAAGAGTATTGCATTGCAACCCTAAGGTTATTGTAATCACTCAGTACAATTTATGTTTTTCCTAGTACTCTATCTCATGAGTTTTTAATAATTTAAAATAATATATATATTATTCAAATGTAGAAACATTTTAATGGGTTGATTAGAGACAATGCAAAGAAGGAAAAAACATATTTCTTTGCTCTTCCAGATAGCTGCATTAACTAAAGAAGGTGAAAGAAATTCATATCGTTTAAGTTGGAGTCCTGATAATTTAGACAACATAACTCTTTCTGCTAGCCCTATTCATTCTGGGTAAGTAATCTGTTCAAATTTTTTATTCAGATGTATTTTTAAATTAATTTATTTCGTTAATGAAAAATAATAATAATCTTAATTTTCAACCATATTTTGAATTTCAGTCATGTTTGTCATGACATCTTCGTTAAAAATGTTGAAAAGTCGTTCTTGATTATTGTAATGGCTTTATGGTTACAAAACATTATTTCTTATTATCGTCCCATTTAAATCTATTTGAAATGGCAATTTATGTTTCACAACCTATAGAATATTAGATAATGAAAATATTTGGAGTTAAATTGTCAATAGGAATGATACAGTTTTATGCTAGCTTATAAATGGTATCCAGTTTTCTGGCTCTTTTGTTGTAATACTTGTGGACGTTGTATTAATTATTCTGCCAGGTTTAATCAGATCAATTTTTAAATTTAAATTTCAACACAGAAAGTACCATGAAACAATTCTTTAAGATAGGAGTTCTCAACCCTGGGCTATGGTCTGGTAGTGGCCCTCAGCTCGTTTGGAACTGTGCAAGCGGTGTGCAAGCCTGTGCAGCTCCATTTGTGCAAGTGGTTGGCATTTGCAGTTGCATGGAAAGCTCCATTTGTGCAAGCGGCAGGTATTCATGGTCACACGTGAAGCTCCATCTGTGTGAGCAGAAGGCACACCCACCCACCTCTTGCTCAAAGGGAGCTGCATGCATGAGCTTGCATGCCTGCTGCTTCCGCTGAACTATTCCCTCTCTGCAACTCAATCCACAAAGCCAGAAAGATTAGAGATCCCTCCTTTAAGTCTAAGACATCTTCATGCAAAAAAACAATAAACTAAACTCAGCGGACTTGTATGACACAGGTTCCATCCTCGAATATCTAGAAGCACCCTACATGTGATAAACATTTCAGATATAAGCTTTTATTTGACAGGAAAATTATACCAATTAGCTTCATCTGTAGGACCCATATTGTGCATGGTGGCATTGCGTAGATGTAGACAGGTCTCATGATAAGGTGAAGGGTCAATGAAGCAAGATGAATAGAAACAAAAAAGGATAAGGTTAAAATGTATGGTTCTAATTCAGCAGCTATTAAAAGTTCTTGAAACCAAACCAACTTTTTTCACTTCAGCTTTTTTCACTTCAACTTTATAACTTATATCCGTGTGGAGGTGGAATTCTCTCTAATGAAGTGAAAATGAGACCTGTTCTTACTGGGTTTTAGTATAAGTATCACAATGCTAACTTTTAGAATGAGATTTAAACAAAAAAAGTTAAAAAGATATATTTTAAGCTAAAGTTTTTTAAAATAAAAATAAAAAACATTTTTATGAATAGTGTGTGATAAAACATTAAATTTAATGATAAGTTTTCACCATATATTGGAGGTGAGGGATTGTGAGAAGCAAATATCATCATGGCCTTTTAAACAAACTTGTAAGAAATCTTCAGATTGCAACTATTTGGAGAAAAAAATCATTTACATTGTTTATATTACCAATTCCAGGTTGATGTCTTGCACATTTTGTTAACAGGTGTGCCCTTATAATCAATTTAGACAAATGCCTGCTTTGAAATGACTGACAGCAAAACTTAGGGGCAAAAGTATTACTGACTAATGCTGAATGTGAATGGTTTCTTGGTTTTCTCTCAGAGCAGCATGACAGGAGCCAGCCTTTTGACTAGCCAGTCTTTTCTATGCATATTTAGTATTAACATACTGGAAAAGATATATGGAGAATATTTTGAAGGATATGAAATAGGAAATATGAATATAAATTCAATGTATTGAACTGATTTATTTATTCAATTAAAAATTCAGTGCTGTCTTTAGTTACTTCTGTGGGAAAAGAACATTTTCTAAGTATTTAAGCAGCATTCACATAGTATATTTTATATTTAGAAAAAATACTGAATCAAAGAAATCTTATATTCACATATATTAAAATTCATCATTAAAATGTAGGCAATTAGTATATTATAGATAGACTGGGATTGCTTCTACAGTATTGTCTTCCACTTTTTGGAATGGTAGTCTATAGTTTATAACAAGCTGTTTAAGCCTGGGCTTTGTCCATGCAATCTGTCCATATACATGGAAAAATATGCACAGTCTCTATTATACAGATATTCCTGGTCAGTTCTTTCTTGCAAGAGGATTCTGAGCTGAGAGGTCCTAATTCAACATAGATAACATATACATAGCGGTTATTATAATAGTAGATTTCAAATAGTGTATACTTTTTTGAATATATTTAGTTGTAGAAAAATTAGCCCACAATTTTTTTTATTAGAGAATTTTCTAATTTTAATTAGGTTTTTTTGTCTTACTTTTTTTCCCTTCTTCTCCTTTTTTGGGGTGGGAGGTATATGGAGGGACCAGTACTTAAAATTGACAAATAATTAGAGTTGTTATTCTTAGCTGCCTGTCTTCCAAAAAGGATATTGGATCATTGCTAACAAGGTAAATGCTATTTCTTGCTTTCAGCTAATATAGTATCTTCACAAAGATTGATAAGAAACAGGACCTAGCAGCTAGAAACCAGGCTTTATAAAAAAATATTAAATCAAACAAATTTACAAAGTGGTAATATATTTATAAAGTTTCTGAAACTTTTTTTAAAAGTTAGTCTTGTCAGATAAGTGAACAAAGTATACATGACATATTTGTTAATTTTAGATCAGTACCATGGAAGAAAGAAATGAAAATTTGGTGCTCTTTTCTACAAACAAGAAAAACATGTGTTGCAATAAACCTAGATTGAAAATGGTTCGGGAAATAGTGACAGCATTTGAGCTAAACATTTATGGGGAAAAAACACTTGGAAAACTAAATGCAAAATATTTTCAGATTATCATAACCGGAAAAGGAACTGATATGAGTAATTAAATAATATTAGTGAGTAGATTTTGGTGGTGGTGGTGGTGGGATTAAAAAGGGATGTAAAATTGAAGGTATTTTTTTAAAATCCACTTTCACTAACATCCATAAGTTGAGAAGTTGCAAGCATATATAGTTACCTAGAGGTAGCTTCAATTAAACTTAATTGATTAATTAATTAATTGAACTTAATCAAACTTTGAATTTTTAGCAGATACAGATAGAATTGTGTTATAAGTTATCTGTGTAATCAGTGTTAAGGTCTTTGTAATTTGCTGCTGCAATATTATGCTTTGTTCTTTTTTATAATTTGTTTTTTTTAAATGTAGAACAATTTAGTAAGACACATCATGCTTAATTAAAACATTGTTGGCTTATCATATGGATGCAAATGATTATTGTTCAGCTGTATAATGGTGATATCATAAAAGCTGTATAACTATATACATACATACATAAATACATGCATGCATGCATGCCAGCCAAGTGGACTGAAACATGTCCACAATAAATACAGGTAGTCCTGGATTTATGACCACAACTGAGCCCAAAATTTCTGTTGCTAAGTGAGACATTTGTTAAGTGAGTTTTGTCCCATTTTACACCTTTGCTTGCCACAGTTGTTAAGTGAATCACTACAGTTAAATTAGTAACACGGTTATTAAATGAATCTGGCTTCCTCATTGACTTTGCTTATCAAAAGGTTGCAAATGGAGTTCATATGAATGACCCCAGAACACTGCAACTGTCATAAGTACGAGTCAATTGCCAAGTATCTGAATTTTGATCACATTACCACGGAGATACTGCAATGGTTGTAAGTGTGAAAAATGGTCACAAGTCACTTTTTTCAGGGCTATTATAAGTGAACAGTCACTAAATGAACTGTTGTAAGTCAGGGACTACCTGTATGGCTAGCCAGCAGATTCTTGACATCTGTTGACTTCCTAGAACATTCATAGGGAATGTTCCACATATGAAAGTCCTTTTAGATGATTTTAGGGCAAGACTACCATTTAAAAGAGGTTACAAAGAAATATATCTTCCATCTTAGCTACCGCGTATACTCTTCATACTGTATGTTTAACGTTTTCATCTTTTCCATTTGTAGATAGATATCTTTTCTGATTTTATTTCATTTGTTCATTCATTCTTTTTTGTTTTTTGCTAAATTATCTCTTCTGTTGCAGCCACTCCTCTCCATATTTTGACCATGAAAACAGCAGGTGAACTTCTATATAATTTCATGTTAATGCTAACTTCCTTTTCCCTTCTTTCTTCTACCATCTGTTTAATTTACTCACTTTAAGATCTCTACTACTTCCTTGATCCCATTCATTATTTAGTGTAGGAGATTCAACCTCTTATATTTACTATTTGATCTAAGGATTTGTTTCATAGAATAGCAATGCAATTTATCGACTAATGTTCCTGTAGGAAGCCTTCCAAAGGACCAAAATGCGCTCTTTTTAGTTTTTATGTCTCTACTGCACAAAAAATTGTGGCTACTGGAATTTGGGATTTAAAGTAATTGACTTTTTAAAAAATATATATTTGTTTTGAAACATTTCTGAAGGAACAAAATTAGACCATCAGTTAAATATTCAGTCAATTAAAAGAAGTGATTTTGAAGTGTGTGAATTACACACTTAAGCTTTTCCAAAAGCTCTAACATGCATATGCCTGTATCTAATAAGTTTAGTAAAAACTTTAAAAATCTGACATATGTAAAAATAAATGTGACTATACACAGAGTGCATATTTATAACCTGGAAATCCACCTTAAACAACTTGAATTATATTCAGTTTTTTAAACTGCTCCCATTAGGTTTTAATTGGGCACTTTAGTGGTCTTTTCATTTTGATGCGTCTTTAAATGCAGAATATCCTGTTTGACAGCTGCTAGTTGTATTATTATTATTATTATTATTATTATTATTATTATTATTATTATTA